TGGTAGCAAGGTTCAAGTCCTGAAGATTGTCGAAGTTATTTCTTCGATATCAAAATATTTTTCACATAATGTATAATAGCGTCTGATTATTTTTTCAGAAGATAATTACTAACACACGAAGGGCAAGACTATCGCTATGGTGTCTTGATCGCCGGATCATTCTAGAATTTTCTAGAAAATCCAATTAGGATTTAAAGCTGGATGATTTGCAGTATTTTTCTCTTAGTAGGGTCTTCCAAGACGAAAACTCTGTGAGGCTGCATGCTATGTGGCCGGACAGACTAGAGGTCTATTAAATCTCCTCCTCTTCCCGTAGCTTGCATTTCCGGCTCCCGAGGTTCTTTTTTCTTGGCTTCTTCGGTTTTTGCCCTTTTTTCGATTGTGAAATAATCATTTGGGGATGCGTAATTTCCACCTATTTCTCCCACTTCCCACCCTTTTAGAACTCCCACCTCCTGTCTTGTGCTTTCCCATCCTTACTCACATACCCCCATCACCTATTATATTCTCAAGGATTCCCAACGTCAATTCTCATGCACTTTTCTCAGAGCTCCGGTGAGAAAAAGGCGACACGAGTGTCGCCTTTTCTCGCGTGGGGTGATTTTCACGCGCGCTCACGTTTCGCTCGCTGTACTATCCCTGAGGAAAAATGGGGGACTACTCGTAGTCTAGTGAAGTCAGTGCTGTAGTAGACCTTTTTCTAAATCACTGAGTGAGCTCTAAACCGGAGACTGCTAGCCGGCTAGTAACTACGAAGGCGATTTACTTTGTTATTCTTGCCCAAAATGATACCTGAATGCTGTTGTTTTATGTTTCTTCCGCCAGTATTGTAGGAATAATGCAACACCCAGCAAACTCGAACTTTCTTGAATGCGACACGCGTTCTCATAATAGAAGTCCAATGAACGCTTTAACAATCCGTCTATACTGGCTAGCCGGGAAACACTCTATTAATACAATGTAAAATTTTCTTACTTTGTAGACAGCTGAAAAGAGTAGAAAATTTACAATCATTTTCAAATATGTAATCTTGAAAGCACGTTTCAGAGTTAGTTAAATAGTATGAATATTTGAAATGTTCTATTCAATTAATGCAGCAGAATGTTAAAGAATGTCACTTACTTCGAACCACAACCAGTAACCTTCTAAATGGCTTATTAGAGTTCATAAAATAAAGAAATTTTCTTGAGGAATCCCTTTTTATTATTTTCAGTTTGGTATAAATATTTCCATGAGTGCCACAGGACACATTTTTTGTCTCTCTGGGAGCGAAGGAATTGAACGAGAAGAGCTCTGGTATCCAAGATACAAAAATATGGAAAAAAGGATATATGAAAAGGACTTATAATATGAAAAATAATCGCAGATTACTATCCAATTCCCTGCGGTTAAAGGGTTCGCATGCGTTTCTTTCCCTTCGACAAGTAATTAGTTTTTGTCGATTGATGTTTTTGTTTTTGTTCCTTTGTTTGTTCGCTTCTTAGTGCGATGCACGTTTTTGTGGTAATCCACTTACCTAGTTATAAATAAAATTTAATTTGTATTTATTTGCGGCTTTACGAGATGTGGCGAGACCGCGAAAATAACTTTGATTCCTTTCAATGTTAGTCAATGATCTATTTATATTATATCCTAATAGACTGATATAAAGCATTTAATTTCTCGCCAACATCCTGTTCGAACGAAACTAGAATTTGGCTTTTGTTTATGTCTTTGATTTTGTTTTCTTCTTTGGATTGTCTTTGTCTTGAATTAGACTTCTAATACCAGCAGCGTTTAGCAAAAACCGAAGAGATTGAAAATCGATGAGACGTCGTTTAATACTTTTCACTTTTAAAAGCAACTTGTGACTTAATGTAAGCCAATTAGTGTGCACACGAGCAAGTTCTAGACAACGTACGTAGTCGACATCAGCTCAAAGTGGCGTTTTTTGTTTGCCTCTTCCCAGTTCCTCTCGCTCGACGCTCGTTTGCGACCAGGTTCTCAGGCAAAGAAAAACACAAACAAACAAGAACAAGGCTTCTCGTGCTTTAATCCTTTTATACGAGCAGGTCTATCTTTTTGTGTGAAAACTTGCCCATAGAAGTTCCGATTACGGCTCCAGTCAAATGCCGCCATACACAAGAGGCGCCTGAAGGCAAATGAGCTCACTTTTCAAGCATTGATTCCTTCATAACTCAGTAGACGACAGTGTATTGTCCTTCACACAAGTGTTAGGACCACGGTGGATCAATACATCTTTAGAGCAACAAAGAAAGCGTATTCTTGTTTTCATCACTGATGTTTTTCACCCTTAAATGGCAAAAAAGAATCACCCGATCAGTTAATAAGCGCGTGAGGTCAAGGTTTTAATGAGGTTGTTTGAGCGGTGTGTCTTAAAAATTAATTATATTTCTCTCGGCACTGTTAAGATGAACGGTTCGAACAACAGTTATATTGTTGAATATTTCGATCAATCCGCAGCGCTTTGCTCATTTTCTGATAAGAAGGGAACGGTCCACGGGCTGCCCATAATATAGTTGATTGAGTTCATTTTGAAAAGGGTCGAAAGCCAGGGAAACTATAGGGACTTGCTATTAAGGTAGGAGAAATTGGAGTAAATATGCATATTTATTGCACGGCTCATATACAACAAGGCAAAGTTTTATCACAAGTGCCAGTTTTATTTCAGACTGTGGTTTGTATTTGTTATGTTCCTAAGTTCAAGTTTCAAGTTTGTCTGCTCATATTAGAGAAAAATGCGGTGCAGTGAATACAGAACAAACCGACAAACATGAAATTAAACATAGCACTAGGAGAAAAACAGACAGAGACGAGAAATGCTATCACGAAAAATATTTTTAAGGTAGTAATAATTTGGATTATAAATATTACTGACATATAGTTATGCGTACGCAATTTTGTACTATCTAGTGTAAATGATAAAACTAACATTAAATATTTTAATATTATGATCGCACATTCTGAGTAATCCTATATTAGTCTAAAAGTAGCGTTTCTAACTTGAGATACACACTTTAGTCTTGTGATTCTCTCTCCGCACGGGCGTTTTTCCTTACTTTTCTTTTATTTTTTATCTTGACATTTTTTTCTTTGATTTCTTCACATTACCCTATGTGACAGAGACTTAAATGCAGCGTTATATCGATTTCCAGTTTCGGTGCGAGCCTCGCGGCTTCGGGTTCCCGAAGATGGCGCTCGACCTCAAACCATCCCGCCTCGTGGCGGGAAGAAAAATAATTCTGGTACGTAGGGCGGCTTATATCGTACCCGCAACACAAAAACAGGATGTTAAGATAGCGCTCACGTACGTAAACATATCTTCCGTCAGATTCCCTGCTTAAATGGTCTATACATGTGCTGGTTAAACCTTTTGACAGTAATTTGTTGTGAAGTTGTTGTTTGTTTGTCTTTTTTTCTTTTTAATGAGCATTTGTAAGTTTTGACGCTAGTCAACTTTAACCCTCGGTCAAAACTTGGAAGCAACCGTCGAGCCAATATATCAATTTCTCCCATACGTGAGGTTAATAGGGGACCGACGGATCTGGAACAATCCAGTTTCGCACAAAAAGCGGATCTCGAACTTGGGACATGTTACGAAATTTCGTTTCTTATGTCACTTCCTTTTGTTGTTAGAGCCTGGCCTCAAAGCGAATTTCTCGCGGGGGAACCAACGGACTGTTGCAATCGGTTTTGATGTGGTTCTTCCGAGCAGCGTCATAAAGCCAGCCTTAGGCGGAACAAATTGTAAGTCCCTGGTAACAACAGAAGAAAGCAAGCCGCCTTTATGACCATCTACACTCACATTACTAACACCAATTTTCTTGACGGAACTACAGGGATTGACGATTTCATCTTCACTAACTAACTTTGCAAAGCAGTTTGGCTGACATCTAGAAATTTTGGTTAAATGGGCTCGGAAACAGCGAATTCCTAGAACGCGGAACCCACAAAACCTTCGAGGACGCGGTCGATGTAGCGGTCTCTAGGTGGTTAGAATTCTTGTAGCACGTGTATAGTTATTGCACGTGCGATCAGTGAAGTACTCTCGTCATCAAACTCAAGGGCGTAGTCACGGAGCCTTTGATTTCTTGGTCATGATTTCCTCTTTATAAGTTTTCTTCGAGGGTGAAGTTTGGTGGTGAGACATTAGCATTTTGCTTTGGTCTTAGAAGGCTCCATTTTTAAGTGTCAAACGTAGGTAGCGACAAAATTACTAAAGAGGACATTCTTTGCGTCTCCTACTTTACATCTGACCGCCATTGGTCATCCATGCCACGCGAATGTCCGTTTTTTGGATATCTCTAAACCGAGACACCTTTCGCTCCACAGTCCTGCCCCCTCCCATGCAACTGAGCAGTAACCCTGCTGCGGTTCTGTTTCTCTTTTCTCTTGCTGTGTAGACTCAATTGCTAGTTCTGATTTAGGTCCATTCTGTATGTGAAACAGCTTAAAGGCCCCACCCGTAAAACATATTAGGTGGTGAAGATTTTCAGTGATGGTCGAGTTTTGATGACAACTGTCTCTGAAATAATTTATTTCTTGAAAGAAAAAGAAGAAACGGGCTACATTTATTCTGTGTACCGTGGTGACTAAACGAGACAGGAAAATGTTCTTAGTAAACGCAAAACCAAAATGGTGAATACTACTTGTAATAACTACGTAGTGTCCCTGTGCCTCGCAACCCCGAATGCCCCGATCATCGTTGAATTAAACGAACTTATTTTGGGCTTTAAGGGCAGCAGAGCTAAGCGGGAGACTACAACTTGCCGTCTCAGGAAAGAAAAGAAAAGAAAAAAGAAATCAAGCAAACAAAAAGACATCGTGTAGATTATCAGAGATTAATGAATTATAATGAGATAACAACACTATTGTGTTTCAAGTCGACTAAAAAGCCCTCGCCCTTGATGACTTCATGCCGCCATTTCACACCTCCACCCACTTACGGGCGAGGGTTTTGCATAAAATAGTTATTTGCTATTGTTCGGCGTGTTTTAGTAATGAGTTTATTTGTTTTTCAGCTCCGCATAAAGGAACTCGAGACCTCACAAGCCTTTCGGCATTTCACTCATCAAGTCAACTCACACGGACGGTACCGAAATCTTGGAGTTGATCATGAAGCTGGCTGCAGCGATTATGGTGTTGGCTGTAGTTTGTGTGAATCGCGGTTTAAGCAGAAGCAAGTGAGTGAATCTATAGTTGCTGTGAGTTAATAGTTTTAACGCCTATGGGCATGTTCTTTCAAACTATTAATCGTGTAGATAGAGCACTTTATTTTCCGTATAACAAGAGAAAAAGCTGTATTTCTTTTGCCTCACGAATTTGGGTTCATGATCCGCTAGCAAGTTGGATCATGGATCTCAGATACTCCGTTCTTGAAATCTCGAAAGCGTTGCAGTGAGTCTTAAGTCTCGATTTCATGTGTTTGTTCCGTTTTTTAGTTCTTAAGTTTTCGGAATGTAGAGACTCGAGTATTTATACCAGGGTACCAGTGTCGCTATCTCTTGGTTTTTAACAACATTCGCCATCCTTCAACTTCACAACAAAGTCAAATTAATTTCATGTCGAGGAGTTGAGCCATGACTTCAACTTACTTCAAGTCAGTCTGTAGTTAAAAGCGACCATGTGAAACGAAGGCCAGACAGATTGCTACAAAAATTACTCTTTTGAGTTCTAGCTATTTAGCAAACCTTAGAGAAATTGACGTGAGAGTAAATGCGAAAGAACGATCAGCTCTTAAAGTTGCTATGTTTGATTACCTAAAAACAATTGCATTGGTTGAGGGTAGATTTCAAAATGATAAAAGTGAGAGAACTTTTCAAGAGTCTAAATTTCCATGGCCTCTAAGTACATTGAATTGTTTAACTTAGTTATTAGTAAAGTCAATTTGTTTATACCAACAACACATATGAGTTATAACATCTTTAATTAAAATTTGACACACTTTATAGAACAAAAAAAAACCGGTAGTAATCCTTCTACTTTTAGTGCACATATCAGTTTGTTTAGGATTGTGTATTCTAATTTGCGGCATTGCGGTTTATAGTGCGATATTGTATTTGAATACCTTGTTTAAGAGTCAGTTTGGCTTCATCAACTTTCTAACAATACATGTAATTCTTTTAACAGATCCGCCAGCATTCTAGGACAAGAGGTAATTTTTGGTTTGTTCGTGGTAATTGTTAATATATACAGCGGCATTTTGGCTGCGGTGTTTGAAAAAGGAAAAACAACACTTTTTCAAGAAAGTTTCATAGAATAGACTAGATGTTTGTCTTTTCGTGTGAATCTGCACATAAAGTTATCTTCTGCAAAAGAATGGAATTGAATTTCTCTAGCCTTCCCGTCTAAGTGTTTATTGATCACAAAAGCAACATAAAGTGTTAAAAATGGATTTAGTTGCGAGACTAGGCAAGAGTGAAAGAACAGTTTCAACTTGAAATGGCAATTGAGTTTGGGAGCTAATCGACTAAACATTGGGGCCAGGGGCGAGTTGCGTGGATACATAGGCACTGTTAAATGCCTTGCATGTTTTTCGGCGAACGTAAAAATCGTATTCTAAACTGTGTAACTGATACCTTTTGTAAAGAGATTCGATAATTCCTTAAGTGATCGTTTATTTATGCCGCTTGATTAAAAACTCTTTTTTAGGCTTATCCATTGTTGTTGAGCTTCGTGAAAGCAGGTGGTCGTCTTGGGCTTCAGGAATGCCAAAGACAGTTCAAGAACGATATTTGGAACTGTACGCTGGACAAGCATGTGATTAAGGAACTGCCCATCTTTGTCAAAACAACGTTACCATATGGTAGGTTTGTTGTAAGGGACTTACTTCGCCCCCAAGTCATTTCGCCCCGTTTACTTAGCCCCCTGTTTCGAGAACGAGGAATATTATATTTGAAACACGCCTGTTTTGGTTCATGGCTTAAACAACGGGGATATTGTAATTGAACCGCGCTTGTTTTGCTTTATGGCTTATAGAAAGAATATTATATTTGAAGCGTGCTAAATTAAATGACTCGAAAATAGGGGGCGAAGCAACAGGGGCGAAATGACTTGAAAGCGAAGTGACAGGTAAACTTATTAATACATTCAGTACGATTGGCTGAATATCAAAGATCAATACCCCTGAGAACAAGCCTTCACTTGTTGTCAGTATCGCCGAGATTACGAACTACTAGAAATTTCAACGGACGCAAATTTTAAAAGATCCTCTAGTATTGTGGCCTGCTCCGTCTTACAAGTAACTACTTTACTTTAATATCATCTTCATAGCTTCTTTTAATTTAATATATATTTATAACTGCTGTAACCTTTCCACTCTGCCCACCTCGTCTAGCTCTTGCTATTTGCGGGCGGAGATGGCAAAACGATGTGCGACGTAGTCACATACCATCAGTTACAGTACTGATTTGATTTAAAAGATTTCCGAGATCCCTGTAAAACTGTCTAAATTATCCAAAAACCCTCGTGATCTTTTGACTTGATTTGATGGTATCGTGTTTCTTTGATTTTTTTTACCTTTTGTGCCTTTTAATTGGTGAGCGCAAAATTCAAATTCACCTCTATCAGCGAATGCAAACCTTTAGAGAGTGGATTGGATCTCTGTAACTGAAAGCTTTAAATCCGACAGTAAACGTTATCTCTGATAGCTACAGTTTACGTACCAAAAATAAAATATCAGATGATTTCGATAACCTTTGTCTCGAGTCACTGACACCATTAAACACGTATTGGACTCATTATCCCCGTTAAGCATAAATAGCTATTAGCCGATCTAGCGATGCGAACCATTGTAAAGGTCACAGACTGTATTCGACTCCTTTTCAATCATGTCACGAAGCTTATTTGAGAAAACTCACATATCTTCAATTCAGTTCTTTTATTTTGTGTTACTGAGGCGCCTTTTCCCGTTCAAGAAGTACTTTGAATATTCTTAAGCAAGCGGAACGTCAAAGAGTTAGTTGGTATAGAAACGTTCAATTTTTAAATAATAGCCTATTGTCTCTTTGTCTTTGCTGTTCTTTCGGGAAATTGCTTCAAGACAAAAGTCTTGGTGGAAACTTATATAGTAAGAATTATGGTTTGCGTACGCCTAAAGATGGAGTGAGAGTAGACTGGCAAACACACAGAAACAGCTTACTCTGTGAATTTTATAAATAAAAAGATGTGAGGCAGTGAGGGTGAAACAGAACACCTATTTTCTGAAGGTAATCGGTCAGTGTAGAGAAATTATAGAAAAGGACTTGAGCCTAATTTGCGGTGGTGAATTTTCTTTTGATTTTAAAAGCCTTTTAGATGGAATAAAAATCAGCATAATAACCTTGGCTCCACAAATAACACATAATTCTTTTAATCGTTCGAATTCTCTCTCTGGGATTCTCATTCTGTTTTAAGGCATTTCAGGCATTTTTCTATCATAATTTAGGCTATTATTTTTGTTTTGTTAAATGCGCTGGCCTAAACTAGTACGTGTTGCGCATTAATTTCTCATCACTATAATTACTCGAATTGAGGTGCTTTCGCCCGACGGTGTTTCGCGCAATAACATACCGTAACACCAATACCAATCAGACTCGAAAAAAGCTTTAGATAAGCCTGTCTAGCAAGGGTTTCCGTTCAAGTTAATCAGGCGCAAAAGCTTTGCTCTCTCTCCAATTTTCGCGCAATAGCTCGAGCGGAAACGTTTGCTACGCAAGCTAGATTGAGATTAGATTTATTACTTTGCTAATGCATGTGTTACCCAACAAAGGATTAACCTGTTCTGATTACTTTACGGCAGCCACTCGAGAGACGGCGTTCATCCACGCAATCAGCTCAGCGGCTATTACCCATGAGATCACGCAGCAGTGTAAGAAGGGGAAAATACCCGGATGTACCTGCGCTGTGATAAAGAAACCAAAAAAGACGAGTGATGACTGGACATGGGGCGGTTGCAGTGATAATGTGAAATTTGGAGAGAGGGAAACAAAGCGTTTCATAGACAAGCTCGAAAAGGGGAATGACGCTAGGACGGCTTTTAATCTGCATAACAATGAAGTCGGAAGAAAGGTAAGAGAAACAAAAAGAGACGCATGAGGATAGAAAAATTAATAACTTGAATATACTTACAACCTTAGAACTAACGTCTTTCTCTCTCCCTTCCTCGAGAAAGGATATTTTTGCGCCTTACTTAAAGAACAGTTTCTTATGCAAAAACAAACTAAAACTATTTATTACTACTTGGCCCTCTGGCTTCCTCGTCCGTTATCAATTGATTACTAGTTACGCTCATTGGTCCATCCGCACCGGAACCGCGCCGCATAAAGCAAGGACACAACAATGCCTCATTGTGATGGACCGAGTTGCTCAAATTGTAATTAGGGCAAGTCTAGTCTTACTGTTAGTAGCTACCCAGGTGGTACCCGCGACCATAGGAATGGGCCGGCCCTTTTGGCTCCACTGCTTTGTTAGCGTCACGTTCCATTCAAGTACAATTTTAGAGGCTTATCTAATAAATTCCCTACGATTTTCTGAAGTTTAATTTTCGCATTTCACGTCCCAAGTTAGGCTGTTTTTCGTAGAAGAAAAATAGAACCTAAAATTTTCGGATTCAAAAATGCGATGGATAGAGGAATCAGAAAATGTCTCACTTTCGTAATAAATCAAATTGTATCAGTCTAAAATTTTCGGGAAAACAATACTCAAGCCCTTGTAATTTCGAAGAAAGACTCACGTTACCCTAGAATGGCCGAACAGCTACAAATTATTTAGCGTCGCTAAGTATACATTCCTAGAGATCTAAAAGTCCTCTGGATAGCCAAAAAAGTGTTTTCGATGTACTTAGGAGGAAGCCGTCGTTGGGTGCCCCTTGCAAGGTGCTTTAGTCCCATGAGAATGTTTTGCTCAATGCGGAGGGCTTGTTAAACCATGATCATTTGCGCTAATCGTCCTTTAAGCAGCTCGGTTATGTACAAAATGGATCAGGCATAAGCTCTGACATATGAGTTTAATGATGACATTTCAAGTGCATGCTTCTGTACTGAATGCTCTTTCGTAGCACTGTTTATTATGCTGTGCAACATAGCGGCTGACTTGAATCTATGGAAAGAAACGAGTGCCACACTAAATAGACGTTACTAGTCTTTTCCTTTAAATTTTGACATTACCTTTAAGTGATACTATACAGGAAGTCCAATGATGGCCATCATATTCTGTTAACAGGTTGTTCGAGCAAACCTTAGGAGAGAATGCAAATGCCATGGCTTATCCGGAAGTTGCACTTTAAAATCATGCTGGAAGCAGCTTGGGGCTTTTGAAAACGTAGGATCGGACCTCAAGAAGATATACGGTGCTGCTGCTAGAGTCAAATTTGTGGAAAACAAGCTGCAAGAACGCATCACCAGGGATCTGCGTCGAGCTGTTTCTGCAAAAGACAAAAAGCTGGTATATCTTGATTCCTCTCCCAACTATTGCGTGCGAAACAGCACCGTAGGTTCGCCTGGAATGCTGGGAAGGATATGCAGGGGAGACGAGGTATCCACCGATAAATGTAAATCTCTGTGCAATGCTTGCGGTCTGAGGCATCAGACAATTCAGGAAGTGAAGACCATAAAATGCAAGTGCAAGTTTGTGTGGTGCTGCAGTGTGCAGTGTGATGAATGCACTTCAAAATTTTCCGTTACAACTTGTAAGAGATATTGAGAACTTGACTCACCGCAAGTTAAAATCAAAACTTACGTTTTACGAAAGTCGAGTGCCACAGAAACTTCTGATAAAAGACTGCTTCTGTGAACAGAATGACGACTTTATTTGGGTCGTAATACAGACAACTTTGTTTTCTTCGAAATGTGAGTAATTTTCAGTAATTCTAGGCCTTGAGGCGTTCAATGCAACTGGGCCTTTACGCTCACAACACAAACAGACAAAAAACTTTTTTTTTTGTATAAGAATACAAAACAAAATTACTGATTCACCCAATCAAAATTTACACCCCACGTAAAAAAATCTATTCGAAATGTGAGTAATTTTCAGTAATTCTAGGCCGTGATGAGAACAATGCAACTGGGCCTTTACGCTCACAACACAAACGGACAAAAAAACTATCTTTTTTGGATAAGACTACAAAACAAAATTACTGATCTCAACCAATCAAAATTTACACCCCACGTAAAAAATCCATCAAACCATACAGATTTCAAACTAAATACCTCAAGGCGAAGAAGGCCGTGGGTAAATTAGAATTCAAGCACGCGCAACCATGTCGCGATCCTTCGTACAAAAGCCTACAAGCTTTTGTTGAGTCAGTACCAACAAAAGCCGAAAAGAACTTTTTGCACTGCTGTACCGTTGATATATCAGCGACTGCGCCCAGCGTTTCTATTTGGGTCACTCTTTCTACTAGAAGTAGCAATGAATTATATAAGCTAAAAGGTTTAGGGTTAATTTGATAATATGGCTAGGTCTCGCTCAATGTTAAGTAATCCATAACAGACTCGGACTTTGGATTCCACGCTGTGGTTTCCACGATTCCATTACTGGAATCCGGACTTGTGGACACTGGAGCTTGGGTTAGGGATTACAATAGTTAGTGGGATTCCAGATTCCATAAGCAAAAAATTCCCGGATTCCGTAATCCGGATTAGCGTTCACGGGGCAAATGGGTATGTTAAAGTAACATTTTTTAGGCCCGAGAATCCATTTCTTGCGGTACAAAAGTCGGGCGCGCATATGTTATTTATTGTATTTATCGCATGTTTCATAGTAAACGATTCTAAAAGGAAGGAAGAAGAAAATAATCCAATGGTAACCATTGTAAGATAAAGATATGTCAAAATTGTATATAAGGGTTCATGTATAGTTTTAATTGTAAGTATTGCTGTTAATAATGGGCATTTAGATACTTTACTAGGTATAATCTACGATTGCGGCAGTCACAGGTGACGAACTAAGGGTGTGTTTCTTTCGAAAAACCCAAAATTGGACTCTTGAATCTAAAAGAGCATTTTGGGTTTGAATGTAAACTGTGTGGAGTGGATTCAAATCCAGATTTTTGAGGTGGAATCATGTCTGATCCATGCGTTTCTTTCAGTACTGTAAAAAAAGTACACTGACAAGCGATTTTCCCTTGAAAATACTATGCCGGCAGATTTCGCACCAGCATTGCCGTCATGCTTAAGAATGCGTTTTTGTAATCTTCCCGCTTTCCTTTTCGTTCGAAGTAAAAATCGAAAGAAACTGAGATAAAGGCTTTAGTATTTTTCTCTGTATCACAGTTGAAGAACAGAAACACAACCCTAACGCCGACTACCTGTGATAGAAAGTATAACGCAAGTAAGTGTTAAAAATATTTTATCAACAGAAATAAAATCACTTTTAATCCGATATGATAAGAAGTGAATTGGTTTAATTATTAAGCATCAATAATCTTCAAAGTAATTACACAGATTTAGGCTTCACCAAAGGTGCACTATTTGGGTTTTGATAGACTGAAACCAAAATGGTGATATCCACTGTAACTTGAACTGAACGATTTTTGCGCTCATTGCTTGCTGCATCACGTTTTGTCGCCCCAAGAAATTCCAGATTCTGGATTCTTTATCAGTGGAGCTGGGATTCCGGATTCCAATCTTTAGTGGGATTCCGAATTCCAAATCCCAGGATCCCGAATTCTACAAGCAAAAATTTCCCCGAATCTTGAATCCGGGGCGAGTTTTTGGGGCCGTAAACGCAAGGATAAATTACCATTTAGTCTAGCTAAGGATAACTTTGACGTTATCGGTTTCAAAGCCCACCTGGAAGGGATTACATAGGATTCCGAATTCCACAAGCATTATATTCCCCAAACAAACATTTTCCAGATTCCATTCCTGCATTCCTGAATCCGAGACGAGTTTTGGGGGCCGTGAACGCAAGGATAAATTAACATTAACAGCTTAAGTACTATTATAGCTAAGGAGAGACTTTGACGCTATTGGTTTCAAAGGTCACCTAGAAGGGAAGCGCGTGTGTAGCTTTAACTCACTGGTCGCACTACTCAAAACGGCTATATATTCAATCTTTTGCAATCCCTGATTTTGCGCATTGTTGGCTATTAATGTACAGACTAATTTTCCTTGAAAAATTTCCAAACCACTCTCTGAGATTTATTACTCGCAGTCACTACACTAGCCTGCGTAACGGGTGCTAGTTATCACTTTTTCACAGGCCGCGCGAGTGGAACACGTGAAGGGGAGAGGAAGCTCGCGAGATTTCCTCCTTCGCCCTAAAAGGGCGCCCGCTATGCAGGTTATGACTACACGGGTTCAATTCAGCGGTTTCTGATTCTGGAAGACAGGAAACAGCAGGTAGCCTGTCAAAGCTTTTCTTGTTTTCATTGTTTTCCCAAATTTTCTTTCAATAATCAACATGATCTATCTTGCCGGTCTTGCATAGTTTATTATATGAGGCCATCACAAATCGAGGAAGCTGAAAGAAAACAGTAAGTTAGTAAATATGTAGGTTTATCCCTAGTAGTAGTACGTAGGCCTATACTGCGCTCAATGAATTTTTTTTTCTCTATCATTTCAAAATAAGTTTGAAACGATAATGCGGCACTTCTAGTTGAAAATTCAGAAGCCATTGGAGCTTCAGTTCAACCCCGTGACCTGTTAGGACAACTGGTGGCAACTTAATTCTTGTTGTTTTCCAGTTCATAATGTTGCAGCCAAATGATTATTTACACTTCGTACTAACAAGGATACCCTCTCCTCCCTGTAACCGTTTGAGAGTTTGTGTCAGTTTTGGCCTAGAGACGATCTCCATATGATGTTAAGAACAGTCAAAAGCAAAATGCAATTACTCGTTTTCTCACTCACTGGCAAGTTCCTGCATGAGTTACGCTGTTATTGTACTAGGTTAGGGGAAGGAAGAACTATATATTTGAAGACCAGTCAGCCCAGATTCTATTCAGCTCAGAATATAAGCTTAAGTAAAGTTTCTTTTCTTGATGATTTCCCTTGCATGATCGACTGATAATTGAGTTACTTTCTTAATGCCGCCTTTAATTGGTTAGACAATTAATGTTGCCATGGAGATAAATAGTATATAGGACAAGGAGGAGCGCTGTGTGACGACACAAAGAACTGCTTTATTAGGGACTAAGAGTTCAAAACAAGATTTTAAAGATTTCCGGGGCATGTTCGAGATAACAGTGATGTCATGGAAACCGGTGGAAATAACTTGCACAAGCTTCACTAACGTCTTTTGTGTACCTTAACAGAGTGCTCTTCGCTCTACCGACGAAATGGCAAAGCTTATAGACGCACTGTGCAGCTTATTTTGGGCTATCATTTGGCTAATCATTCTGTTGCTGATTGCTCTTCCCGTTGGCTTCATAGCTGCAATACTCTACATTCTTGTCTCTCCATTTAACGCGTGTTGTGACTGTACAAAAAGCCTAACAGATTTCTTTAAGAAAGGCATCGAGTTTCCTTATAACGCAGCAAGCAATGCAGTGAACGGCAAGCGGGGATGTTAAATTGAGGTTGTGGCGGTCAATAGGTCAGAGTGTGTATTCAGTTTTGAAAAAGAGGACCAAGAACTAGTACCTGACGGTCTGAATCTGACAGTCTGCATAATTATACCAGAAGAATCAATACAAAGGATGTCACCTTTTGGGTTCTACTAAGGTATTCTGTGCGTCGCTAGAGTACATGTCACTCATAGCTTCGAGGAGAAGAAATGAATGCCAATGGACCATATTCGTATCGCTCCATGCAAGGGAATCCAAGACAGTCTTGGATTCTGGATCCTCACCATGGATTCCGGATTGGAAGAACTGGATTTCGGATTCTTTGTTTGTGGAACTTGTATTCTGGATTCAAATGGTCAGTGGGACTCCGGATTCCTTTAGCTGTGTTCCGGATTCCGTAGCCCAGGATTCTGGATTACACAATTCCTGAATTTGCCGGATTCCGGATTTCACAAACAAACTGAGGTCCCGGATTCCAGAATACGGATTCCCTTACATGGGGCGAATCTTAACCCAGGCGGTCGAGGGTGAGTGGGCGACTAGGCTCTCGTAAGGGGGTGGGGGGGAGGGGGGCGGTATCATTAAAACTCCCAAAACATTCCCCCGAATGAGCCTTTAAGCAAGGGTCACATATAATAGTTTTTAGTATAAACAGAAAGTTTTTCATAAAAGGTTAACGTGCAATATGCAACTTGACTGAACAGTCTAAGTACATCGATTATAAAATCAATAAATATTTAACTGATATTTTGTTGTTGTTTACTGGTATCCTCTGTTGTTTAATTCCTTTTTAAAGTTTCCATTAATCTAGTGTTTTGCTAGCCCGAAGTAGAGACAAGTTGTCATTGCTTTAATTTCCTCGTGTCTCGCGCGCTTTTATCAGTATTTAATACTCATTACCATCTCAGCGTGGTCGAGAGTGAATGTTAATGAGGAGGGAGTGAATACAGGTATGCAAATCCGCCGATCCGTTATGGTCAAGAGCCATAATGGGATGGTTATGATTTATTTTCAAATTAGCCGATGAAATTTCCCTCTGAATCCGAAATACGAGCAAAATATTTTTTAAACACGCAAATTCCAAAATCCGGGCTCAAAAAATGGTTGAATCCGCAATCCGCTGCCATTGGCAGATCAACAAATCCGGCGTAAAAATTTCGCTCTGAATCCGAAATCTGAGCAAAAATATTTTCAAAATCCGCCGATCCGTTGGCCTATTCATCCGCCAATGAGCTTTTATGAGACTCAGGGTATGTCTAAACTAAAGCAGGACAGTGCTTGCGCACGTTGCGTCTGTATCAGATAGGGGGGTTCAGGGCAGGGGCGCCCACCTCCTCTCATTTTTAGGCCGAACTGAGGCCCAAAGGGCCATAAAAAACCTTTTTTGAGACCCCCCGGTTTTTCGGAGCGGGTGTTAACATAATAAGTCTCTTGTCTGCTTATCTTGCCTCATCTCCGAGGGAATTTAACACAGTCTTGTATTCTTGATTCCACGCCGTATAGTCCGGATTCTAGTCAGCTCCACTGTGGAACATGGATCTGGATTGTAATCGTCAGTGGGATTCTGGTTTCCTGGAGCTGTAAAATTTTCCTGTACTCCGGATTTCACAAGGAAACATTCCGTCATTCCCATACATCCCATATAGCGGATAGTCTTTTCGGGACACTCTTCGTGGTATTGCTCCCCCCAGCTCGTGCTCCAACTTCACCGGAAAAGACTGGAGAGGAGATTGAGTAACCTCTCTGATTGAGCCCGCAAGACTCCATATCAATATCAATACGAGTGTGACTCATTTTGTTGAGTAGTTTCTCTCAGTTGTAGCAAGTGTTGTGTACATGAGTTTCGTAAAACATTCAGCTCGCCTCAAGCATATCACACGCCACCTGAATGCACACAAGTCCGTGACAAGCGCTGCTGTCGCTCATGTCTTCAGCAGGTCGACAAGTACAGGTAGGCTTCAGCGGCCCATGGTTTTGCTTACCGGCGGAGGGAACGGCATTTACAAATGGATGGGGTGGTGTTGCTTCTTATTGATTCTCTGTTTTGAGACGTTTCAAGCCGTAAAGTAAATTAGTATTAGTTTCTTTCTGACAGGCCTTGACAATGAGCGCATTTACACGTACCGCTCAGACCTCGTTAATACAGACACTGGAAGCGGGGGGGGGGGGGGGCAAAGAAAGTTCCCTTATTGCTGGTTTGCACGTGACGTCACGGCGGCCATGTTGGTGGTCAAGAACAAAAGCATTTCTCTCCTCTGGGAACTAAAAGTCTCTATTTTCATGCAAATTCTTCAAGGAAATATTATTTTGTTTTGACCCCCAACATGGCCGCCTTGTCACCTGGTTGCAAACCAAGAATTAACGAGGTGCACATATTAAGAGGGTTGAATTTACAGAAAATGTAATACACCAGTCAATGTTAAGCCCCAGGAATGGGGGCCAATACCCAGGGGGATTTAACATTCTGGGCCATTTTCATGTCAAATTCTTTACCCAGGGGGAAAAAGATTGATGTCAAATACCCCTTCCCTTGGGGTACATATTTTTGTTTGATTTAAGATGATATAATTTACCATGCTTATTTCCTTATCACTCCCACAGTCTTTATTTTCCATCTAATATTATTATATTGCATACTTTGTACAGAGGTATTTCTTTCATAATCAAGCACTTGTAATTTTTTAAAGCTGTTTGGTCCTACACAGACAAATATTCAACTGTGAACAGGCAAAGAACAAACGTGGACACCAAACAACTTTCTGAAACAGGAATCCCACGGAACTCTGGGTAAAGTTTTCAAGATGGCAGGCTGAGGCTAGGTGTCAGACTCTTGTCAGATCTCGTCAAACTCCCCTACCCTCGGGATGTTGTGTTATGTCAAATCTTATATTATTCCCCGCCCACGAGAAAGCAAATACACTCAAATGCCCAGGGGATGCCAGGCCTCCCTATCCTGAGGCTTAGCATTGACTAGTACATATTAGGGCTTACTTTCCCCAGGGACAAAGCAAACTGTCTGTAATAATGAGGTGTTCATATTAAGCAGGTGTCCGTAAAGGGGCACTGCACACTAGATGCATCAATTCATCATGATTCCTTGACTGTTAGTCAAGTTCTAGTCAACTCCTTTACCTCCGGTCAGTTGGGGATTGGAAAATCAGGTTTAATTTGTTTGTTTTGTTAATGATCATTTGAGCGGAGTACTTGACTGAACAACAGTTGTGCAATTGGCAAAAAAATCAGTAAGGCTTTTTCTGAGGTTCTGCGGCCTTCAAACAGAAAAATAAATGTAGCGTTCCCTCCCCCATCTGCTCCGTGCAAAGTTGTGCTGCTGCTTGAGCTATCAGTAAGAAACAAAAAACACCGTAACTTTGAATTATGTTGGGGACGGGGGAGGTTGTGGGGATTGTTTTGTTAATCGAAGTAGCCCATTATTTTGATGACAGTTTCTTAACAATGTTTTGTTGCTGTTTATAGCTAGGTTAACAAGGCACACAGTTTTTCTCCTTAATAAACTAATGCATCATTACCGCTTTACCATAATGATAGAGCTCTGACTACATCTTCTCATAGATTCCCAGGAATATGATTTAATTGTCATTGGTGGGGGATCAGGAGGTCTTGCCTGTTCAAATGAAGGTGAGAATTATACAAGCCACTAGAATATCAACTCCTTTGTTTCACCTTATAAAACTTATACACTGACTTTACCCATGATACCCATTACACAGGATCATCAATTGTGCTCTTTCATATTGTGGGGAACGGGTATGAGTTTATGTATTACCGTATTTATTCGACTATAAGCCGATCTCGGCTATAAGCCGAGACCCCAAACTTTGAACGTGTAGACTCGGCATAACGAGAACCAAAAATAAATCGAAAACACCCGGCTATAAGCCGAGACCCATTCATTATTACAAGACTGAATTGTTAACCACGGGAAAACCTAACATTTTCGGAAAAAAATCACATTGATTGTCATAAATGAGGCTTAGACGATAACACACACGCGCCTATACAAGAGATGCAATGGTGATTTATTATGCAAACAGCTTTCCTCTTAGAAAGCACACGCGAATTAACAAATATTAACCGTAACTAACTATTCAATTGAAAAACAATGAATCCTAACTCAGATGAATTAATGTGATCCAAAAAATGAATTTAAAAGTAACTGTGTTGTTAAGCGGCATCACCAGTACCTAGACATCCGTAGCGTCTATCAAACAATCTCGTGTTCGCAATCGTTTATTTCAAGTCAAGTTGTCATCATGCCCAAAGCTCATCGCACGTCATACAACCTCGCGCTTAAACTTACAACAGTCGCCGAAGCAGAAGCTGTTGAAAATAACTCTGAAATCGCCCGAGAATATGGCATCAGTGAGTCCATGATCCGTCGCTGGAGGAAAGATCAAGCGAACCTTTTTAACGGCGAGATTAATTGTCAGCGAAACGGAAGACGATGGAATGCTTCACGCCGAAGTATCCAGAGCTCGATCAAAGAATACTGGAATGGTTTACAGAGCAGAGAAGCCAAGGTAAGTTTTTTGTCGAGCATTGATTTTGTATCTTAAAACAACAGAAACAAGATCACGAAATAACTCAATCAGCTGATTGCAGAGTGAATATGAGTTGAATGTGTGACTCCCAAAACTATCGTCGTGTCATGTGACAACGTTGTGTATGAAAGATTCTCATTGGCCAGTTTTCACAAATGTCAAAACAAATTCAAGACGTGTCAAAATTTTAACCTTTCGATCGTTTTATAACCTTCTCACTTCGTTTTGCATAGGAGTAGCTGTTAGCGGATTGATGCTACGTCTAAAGGCAAAGGAATTCAGCGAGGATCCTGAGTTTAAAGCGTCCCTCGGCTGGTACCAGAAATGGAAGCGCCGCCATTCCATCAGCCTTCGCACCAAAACAACACTCGCTCAGCGTCTCCCTGAAGATTTGGAGCCGCAAACAGTCAAATTCCATCGATTTGTAATCACATCCCGTCAGCGTCACGGTTATTCCCTATCAAGAATCTTTATCTTTTCTGTGAAAACACATTAAATTTAACAAACGGCTCCTTTAGGAGCCACCACATTCTTAAAAGTTAAGAACCAACGATTGCATATTGTGTTTCTTTACTTTAGCTCGGCTTATACGTAAATACATCTCGATTTAGTAGAGTTTCCATGCGCCGGAAAAATTTTTTTTTCAAAAACTTTCGGCTACAAGCCGAGACCCCCTCTAGAGCCTAAATTTTAATTCACTTCAGTTTTAATTTGTGTAAAAATCGCTCGGCTTATAGTCGAATAAATACGGTATGTACTTTTTAAAAAACGAGCAGGAGTGTGTATTTATCAGTTTTTAAACCTTGTAATACAAGACTGCAAGTTTTTTTGAAGGGCTTCAAAATCTCTGATTTTAAGATCAACTTATTCTTGTACTAATATTTAGATTTGGGGTTATTTTGATCCAAAAAATTGGACGTAAAGATTAACTGTGTCTTTATCAGATATAATCAGATATAAAGACACTCATTAAACATTGATTTCTTTTGTTTCTTTGTTATGAATTGTGAATGGGTTTTGACGGGATTTTCAACACAACACTTACATAGTCCAAAAGAGTGCATCAAGTTCTAAAAGTTGGTGTTAATCAGCCCAGTTTTAAACAAGATACAGACATAAAAAAAACTTCAAATTAAATAAAAAATATATATATGGACATCCAGACAGGTGTCTAGGTTATTCAACACATTCCTTTGTAAATTTTCAAGTTTTTAATTGGCTGTATCTTTTTCAATATCGGCCTTTTTAACACCAAAATTAGGGATTTTCTAAAATCTGGTGTGCTCTTTCTTTTTAAATGGGGATTGTGTATGTTGATAATCCCATAATAGTCATGAACTTGTACCCTGAGTACCCCTGAAAGCCCACAATGGGGCAGAGAAGTGCTGTTTTAGTAGTTGCAAACTTTTTTTGCTTCTGTGAGTTGCTTGACCAGAGACCTACTGTTACCTAAGGAGGGGAAGCTTTGGGGTGCTGGCTTCTTTGCCCAAGGTATTGACCTTAAAACTTTAGGAAGAATGCCACAGACCCTAAGGGGCTATGTTGTCACTATACTGGATAGCCTTTCATGCTGGCACAAAAAGCTATCCAGTTATAGTAAGAACACTTGTCCGATATGTGACTCTCTAATTTAGAGATTGGCGTGGCTCAACTTCACTCCATTATGGAAATTGTGCTAAAATCACCACTAGTGAACTGATTTAAGCCTTCTCTGGCATAGTTTTTGTGCCGGCGTAAAAGCTATCCGATACAGTGTAAACATGCATGTAGCCTAATTCTCTTTTTTGTAGGCTGACCACAGTGTATGCAATTATTTCCAAAGTTGATTTATGGGAAAACTGAAATGATTTTAATTTGTTGGCTTGCAGCTGCCAAATATGGTAAAAAAGTTGCTGTCTTGGATTATGTATCCCCTTCACCACAAGGTAGGGAAATTATGATATTATTAATGTAATTTTTATTCTAATTATAATATAATTTAAGCTTACATGATGTACATGTATTACCATTTGTTCCTTTCACCAATTGCCAGTGAAGTACACCATGTAACTCAATATTCTTCAATAATTATTATATTTATAACATAATTTCCTGATTCATTGACCGTTTTGTGAATCTCAAGGTAGTGCAAGTACATGTACAAATTTAAATTTTTTCAGTAAGCCTTCACAACAGATTAACAGCGAGGTTAGTATACCTGCCAACTTTTTCTGAGAAAAAAGCGTGAGATTTTTATCCTGGGAGTCCTGGGATTTTTGAAGACGACACGATCATTTCCGAAGATTCCCGAAGAAGTCCGAAGTCTTCCGAAGACGTCCGAAGATGTCCGAAGTCTGCCAAAGGCGAGCTCGCTCCCAGTGCTTTTCACTTCAAAAATCAGAGATCGCGAGGAAGGTATTGCCATTTATTCATTTTACACATGGTTTTCGTTCCTTTCATGGGTCTGAGTTAACATATTTTTGGAAATTGTGTCAAGCAGGACGGCAACAACTCACATTTTTCAATCAGGCGTGAGAAATTGGCCCGCAGGCGTGAGACTCACGCCTAAGGCGTGAGAGTTGGCAGGTATAGGTTAGTTGGAGTGTGTTCTACAGGAGCTTACAAAATAATGCAGGTGTATCTTTTCTTATTTTCCTGTCAATGGCATTTTTAAAATGCCCTAATTTTTTAATTTTTAAATTATTGTAACTAATTTTTACCATTTTGATATTGCATGTTGAAAACAAAATTAGAAAATCACATAATTGGTGAGAATCCACAATGTACCCATTAAATGAAATCCGTTTTTCATGGTCGGTGGAATAGATCTTCAGTAGTTCAGTGCCAACAGATCTAGTGCCGGGGTTGACTAAACTTTTTTTTTTAACCTTGAATTTTGGTGCTTGTATTAAAGGATCAGCTTGGGGCCTTGGAGGGACATGTGTCAATGTTGGATGTATTCCAAAAAAGCTGATGCACCAGGCTGCCTTACTGGGAGAGTCAATCAAGGTATCCTGACAGTTAAACCTGCATGATATGTGCGGCCATCTCTGCAAAGCAACCTCCTATTATAAGTGACTACTTAATTAAAATATTAAGACATTTTATTTTTTCAAGTAAAAGCAATACAGTGACAAATTAAGCCCCCTGGCCTGTCAGTCTCCAGCTCCAGTAATCCACCTCCAAAATTTGCAGTTTAGGTTGTATTTTTTGTTCTGTGCATGTAATTGAAATTCTTTCAAGGAAAGAGAAATATAAGAAATGAAGTTATACTGATGCACAAAAGTAACTACTGTACACACTCCACTTTGAGACTTGTGGATGTGTCAACTGAGGAGAATAATATTATTTGGGTGTTTACTCATCATCATCATTTTTGGTTTGTTAGAATTACTGATGAAAATGTGTAACAAGGGGATGCACTCTGAAAAACTATTACAATATATTTTGATTGTAACTGACATTGAAAACTAAATAAATTTATGAAATAAAGTGTATTATAAAATGAAAATGAACTCGATCCGGAAATGAAGTTTATTAAAACAGGCACATGTCAGTTAATGTTCAATGACTTTGCAGGATGCACGTCATTTTGGATGGAATGTTCCGGACAATATCTCATTGTCATGGTATGTATTCTTCCTTTGTGGTTATATAATTAATACATGCATTTAATTTTTATTATGTTAAATCAATTGCTATAAAGTTATTATTGAGTGTTATGTTGAAATAATATTATGCTAGTTTGCAATAATTATTAATAATTATTATTAAGATTGATATGAGAGAATAAAACATAAAGAATGAATTATTCATCCCTGAACCTCAATGCCATTTGTATTGTTTTATTCCCCTTAGCCTTGGAGTCAAGCATGAATTTAAATATTTAAAAACTAACCAATTAATTTTTTGGTTACTTCAAGTTTTAGCTAGTAGTAAACTTTAAAGTGAAAAGAGCAATTGATTTTGCAAATAAAAATATATTACTGGCTTTTTAATCATCATCATCATCATCATCATCATTATCATTAAAGTTGCTCAATAGACATGGATCACTTTAATTGTACAAAGTTGACTTGGGTGAAGTGAACAATGCTTGAATGAGTGCCAGGGATTAAGCTCATGGCTGGCTGTCAGCTTATTTCACTGGCTGAAAGAGAGCTAACCACCTGCAGCTCAAAATGCTGAAATTACAAAGGCATGAAGATTGACTGATTAAAGAAAGCCTACTTCCCTTTTCCATAGCTTTAAGTGCACTCTTCTCCTACCAAAGTGTCTTGTATTTAATAATTATAGGGAGAATTTCACATTACATCAAAAGTCATGATAGGGCCTATCTGATGCACCCCATCCTTAAATATACATGAACATAACATGGAATGTGTGTGTGATGTCTCCTGTTTTTTGTTGTTTTAATTTTTTTTTAATGACATATCAGGGAAAAATTGGTGCCGGCTGTTCAGAATCATATCAAGTCACTAAACTGGGGCCACAGAGTCAAGCTACATAATAAGTAAGGAATTACAATTTAAGCGATATAATTCATATAAGTCAACGTACAATAATATTTGTACATGAATAGTACTGATGGTGACACTATTTATTGAATGTAAAATTATTTGTTCAGTGCGAAAAATTTTATGTAAGATATTTGAAACAAGCACAGTACCAAACTTCATACATTACTTCTACAATGTGTAAACTTTTTGCAATGCAGATGGTTGGCTTTGTCTGTCCATACATGAAGCTCATGTACATGTACATGTAGGTCTTATTGCACGTACTGCTAGTAACTAAAGAGTTGAAACATCTAAATTTTCTTCCCAATAAATTATCCTGCTATTTTACTGAACAAAAATCTCCCTTCCTTCTTCTCACATAATTACAGCAAGGTGGAGTACCTCAATGCAAAAGGATCGTTCTTGGACCCTCACACAATTAAAGCAGTACTGCAGAACGGCACTGAGGTACATACACGGTGACATAAATAATGGAATGATAGTCTCTAATTAAGTCTCCTTGTACAGGTCTTGTGAGTATGACTGAGAGATCCTTGGTTGAATGCTGAAGGAACACAACACAACACCTTTGTACTGAAAATGACCAGAAAGCGTCGGAGTCATGTTAGAATTTTAATATTTCGAATGTGTGGCTTTCAGTCTCGATTTTTCATTAGTCAGAGTCTTGAATTAAATTTACTCTAAATGCCACCAACTGTTCTGGCGAAATTATTTTTCATTTTTATTTTTCTAATAATCAAAATTTACTGTTTTCAGAAAACTCTCAGAGCAGAGAATTTTGTAATAGCTGTAGGTGGAAGACCAAGATTTCCATTTGAGGTCAGTGAAGTTATTAAAAAAATTTATGTTAAAAGTACTATCACGGCTGTTGCTAAGGTTTCAAGTTGCCGTGTAGATACAACAAGTAGGCAGGGAATCAAACTGCTAGGAATTTCTTTTGGTTCTATTTTTCTTCTATTTTCCTTTGGCAGTAGCCGGGGGGCGACGTTCTTATACAACCCTGACTAAATTTTGGGTAGCAAGGGCGGTGCAATGGTGAGAGCACTCGCCTCCCACCAATGTTATCTGGGTTCGAATCCTGGCGTCAACACCATATGTGGGTTGAGTTTGTTGTTGGTTCTCTCCGTTGCTCCGAGAGGTTTTTCTCCGGTTTTCCCTTCTCCTCAAAAACTAACATTTCCAAATTCCAGTTCGACCGGGAATCAGGTACACGAAGAACCACTCACGCTCTGGGGGACACAAAACAAAAGAAACTTACCCCACTAGACCGGGGTCCCCCACTCCATGTAAACAGGGTCTTAAAGTGGATGTGCTACCTCCAAATCGTTATTGATTCATATCCCTCTGATGCAGCATGTGGTCTGTGATTTTGTTTATATTTGCCATTGCCCTGACACTAAAACTCTCTTTTGTTTATGTAATTAAACATTGAACACAATTATTTACTATTAATTTAATATTTCTTTTTTTAAGGTACCAGGTGCAATGCAATATGGCATCAGCAGTGATGATCTGTTTTCTTCGGAAAAGCCTCCAGGAAAAACGTGAGTATGATTGCTTCCCTGTTAATCACATAGACTGCGAGCAAGCTCTTCGATTACAGCGAGCGACACGAGGCGAGAGAGAACGCGCGAGGGAGCAGCGAAGTCGCGAAGAGCGGAGGAAAAGGAGATCACTTTCCCCGTCCCACACACTCGTCTATCCTATCACGTGGGGCTCTCGCGCGACTTCTCGAGACTTCCCCAAATGGAGAGCTTGCTCGCAAGCTATTAATCACAGCGCATAGAGAACAAACAGTATTGACAGTTGTTTCCGTGAGCCAGTGTTTGCGAGCAATACTTTAAAAAACTACAATGTAATCAATAGTTTTGGATGGATAAACGTATTTAGAGTAAAGATTTGTAAGCTGTTGACTTTCTGGTCATATCGTGTTTTGACGTAACTTCAGTAAGGATCGAAAGTTAAACTGTAAAGATCATAATTTCCACTTTTTCTTTGCCTTCAATTTTTCTGCCAAAAGTGCATGCGCTGATTCCAACAAAAAATACTGTCAGAATGTATATAGTTGTATTTTGTTCCAACTTGTTAAAAGCCCTTGCAATATGCTTCTGTTTGCTTGTGCCATCTGCTTTAAAGCCTCATTATCTTGGCTTGTAAAGAGCGCAGTCTCCGCCTTTCTCCCTTTGATATATGGCCTTTAAAATACGAACCTAAAAGTCGCCTAGTAACACAGGCGTCCCAAGCTCACGTTACGAGAGTGGAATGTAATTTGCATTCTGCACTGTCTGCAGCTACTTGTTATTTTTCTGTGGGTAAAGTGATTACCCTTGGTCATCTCGTCACCAAGTAGTCGACTCGCCGCCGACTAACTCGCCACCAAGTAAGAACTCTGTAATCAGTCTGGAATAAGCTTGGCGAAGAAGTAAAATTTTAGGTTAGTAATCCTAGGTGAGTAAACACGTCGATTAATGCAGAGTGGTGGCGATCGATTAGCCTTCTTGGGGGCGAGTTGGTTGGCGGCGAGTCGACTTCTTAGTGGCGAGATAACCGTAAACCACCGTGCGGATTACTTTTCCTTTAAATCGTCATCAGACTTCTCCTATAAAGATTTTAGTGTCACTTACTGTTACTAACAGCTATTTTGTATTCTTTTGCAGTCTGGTTATTGGTGCTTCATGTATCCTTTTACATTCAGATTTCTCTTGTTTTTGCTCTATTCACATCATTTCGCCCTGCTCTCATTTTTGGCATAGTTGACTTTGGATGCTCCTTAGACAACTCTTTTGATTTTCAAGCGAATTTATAATTCAAATAAACATTTCGTTTCTTGCGGTGTTCTTTCCTTTTCTGGACTTCTAGAGAAAAAGGTTTCAGACTCTTTCTGCTGTTACTATCTCTACCAGAGCAGAAGGGAGCCACCGAAACCTTAGCCTTCTGTGATACAATTAATGGTTTTGCTGTACCTAGATTACAGCAGAAGACAGTCAGCTTACTGAATAATTCTACACAGGAAACTTTTCCCTAACAATATTTTACGGAAGACGTGGCATTGGAATGTGCTGGTTTTCTGACAGGCTTAGGATTCGACACGTCATTGATGATGAGGTCTATACCACTACGTGGGTTTGATCAGGTGAGACTCTTTCAAGCTTTCTAGGTAGCTATTCCAGGTGCAAAATCAAAAACCAGGCCGAGAATTACTGCAGTTCACCAGACCTGCGATAACTGCTGCAAAGTACAGGCCGTCTTTTTCAGACTACTCCTTATTTTTTTTTCGTGGTTTTATGTACAGCGCGCGTAATTCGCTCGCGGTTAGTACGGTTGTTTATACTGAAAGAGTTTAAGCCTTCTCCCGATGGCAAAATGACAAAATTTCTTACATTTGATAACTTGTTCCCGCCAATACTACATTTGGCTAAAACTCGTGGGAGAATCACGACGGCCATCACGTTTTCCCGCCGAAATGACGCTGGTTCACGCGTGAGCAATACTCAGTATTGAGAACATCTAAACAAAATCTCGTATTCGTAGTCGTCCTCGTCTCAGAGTCTAAAGCACTCTATTGTTGTGTGGAATTCGTCACTTTAGAAACCAGCAGGAAAGTGGGCCGAGTTAACATTTGCAAAGACTTCTGGGTCTGTTACAAGGGTCAGGTAAAACGATTGGCCATTAGCTGACTGGTGCGCCCCAGTAACAATCCCAGAAACACGTGTGGGACACATTTTGGTCCCTTTCTCGTTTCTAAAGTGGTGAATTGCGCTATCGGTCTGTTTTGGTGGACTAATAGACCTTTTTACCGATACGGCGGCCACATTGAATTAAGGAGTATTATAGGATGCCTAGGGGGCATGAGCACATTTCGTTTGTATTTTCGAGCGCTTTTCGGGAATTTTTTCTTAAAGTTTTCTTAGAGTAAGATTCTAATGGGAAAAAAGATTCTTGTGCCGTGTTTGGATGTAGTAATGATCGCCTTTTTCCCCAGAAATATACAGTGAAAGACCATATTTCTAATACTAAACTAGAAAAAGGCGATCATTATTACATCCAAACGCGGTACAAGAATCTTTTTTCCCATTGCAATCTTATTCTAAGAAAACTTTAAGAAAAAATTTCCCGAAAAGCGCTCGAGAATACAAACGAAATGTGCTCATGCCCCCTGGGCATCCTATAATACTCCTTAATTCAATATGGCCGCCGTATCGGTAAAAAGGTCTATTTTGACCTAATTTTCTCTGCAACGTCGCCATAGCAAATGAAAAAAAGAGAAATCGTCTCCAAAACAATCGCCTAGTGCAATTCGACACTACAGAGACCCATGTCAGTCTCCCGCTAGACCTCAAAATCAAGTGCAATATGGCTAATTTTAGGGTTGTCCGTTAGGCGAGAGTTGGTTGTATTCAGAATTTTTTGTTGCTTGTGCTTAACTAGCAAATGTCCCAGCTCGTGTCAGATTACATGGAGAACCATGGAACGAGGTTCTTGAAGCACTGTGTTCCTGTCAGAGTCGACAAAGATGACAGAGGATTACTTCATGTAACTTGGAAAGAAACTGAGACGGGCAAATCACATCAAGAAACGTTTGAAACAGTTCTGTTTGCAATCGGTAAGTCACAATAAGCTAACAAAACCAAGAGCTCAAAATAACGGCCGGTGCACAGAAAATGTTCGGCCAGAATAGGGTCTTGACCGGCCTGAAACTTCACTCGCCGGTCATGTTGACGGGTCACGACGCACACTCATTTTTGAACAACCAGCCAAATCCTCACCTGTAAAACTTAGATTTTTGTCTCTTTATAAAAATGCAAGGGTTAGGCAACATATTTTCCCAATATTTTAACTGGTGATAAAAGAAGCTTGAACGAGCAAAAATTTCTTTGGCCGGTCATCGTGTCCGGCCACCGTCCGGAAGTTATTTTGAGCCGTGAAGCAAAGAAGTCTGGCGAAGTGAATATCCGGTACACTTTATTAACTATGATTATGAGCTATACCAAGTGCTATTGCAGCTATTAATTAATAATATTATTGCACGAACCTACGATTACTAAAACTGCCTTTCATGTAGGCAGGGATCCAGAGACAAGCCAGCTGAATCTTGAGAGGGCAGGAGTTGAGGTGCACCAACAGACCAAGAAAATTGTTGGAAACAACAGCGAACAAACAACAGTCCCGCATATTTTCGCCATCGGAGATGTGCTACAGGTATTTGATAGAACTCAAATCATGATGGAAAAGCTCGTTCCCAGTGTCTTGCATCTCCCCTACGACCAGGGGCCCAAAAGAGGAGATACCCTGGGAACGAGGTTGATAAGGCAGGAACCACAATCACGATGTCTTTTTATATCCAAAGCATTGTCAAGCTTCCGCAACAATAGATTATTGTACTTATGAAATCGTAGCTAGGATACCGTTAGGGTACAATTACGCTCATAAGCCCCTGGCTTATACAACTTCCTAAGGGGTTTCAGGAGGGCCCATATATGAGGTGGGGCTTATAATATCCGGTGGGGGAGGGGGGGCTTATAACTTATTTGGACGAAGAAAGAGCGTTTCGAAACACGCTACATATAGCACTGCTGATCAAAAGACTATTTTAGTTAACTCGCTTTCTTTAAGCTTCAAAACGTCGTAAAAATGGAATCCATTTCAATACAAGCTAGAGGGTGGCTTATCCGGGGGAAGGGGCTTATCAGCGGAAGTTTACGGTATCATAAGTTATTATACCTCAACCGAAAAAAGACCTTGTGAATCCAGGCCCAGGTTTCTGTTTTTCGTTGTTTTGGTGATGAAATTTAATTTTTCTTTAAAATTGGGTTTCCTTTCCTAGATTTTAGGGGCATTACGAAGCCACGACGGCGGTGAGAACGAAAAACAAAACAATATGTTTAATGAGAAAAAAAGGAGATAAATTAGACTGCAAAACAGTCCGTATTTTTGCGGATTCAAATACGCGCGAGCAGTCAAGCAAAAGGTCTGGAACGAGGCTGAAAACAGAGAGCAAGACTGCTTACGGTTCGCACTCTTCGCGCGCGTAAGACTCTTACGCCACGCTTTACCGATTTCTTTACTGCTTTTGAGAAAAAAAACAAAGAAAAAAAGGAAGGAAAAAAAACGCTGTTTTGCAGTCTAGAGATAAGTAGTTATCTTCTGTATGTAGCTAAGGAAGAAAAAAAAACACTGTTTTGCAGTCTAGAGATAAGTATAGTTATCTTCTGTATGTAGCTGAGCTATCAGCAGTTTCTTTCGTTAACAGGATAGGCCAGAGTTGACTCCAGTGGCCATTAGAGCTGGAAAGTTGTTGGCTGATAGGCTTTTTGGAGGCTCTGACATTTTGATGGACTATGATAAGGTTGGAGTAGAACACTGAAGTACTAATCGTTTCTTTTTGTTAGTTTATCTTTTTTTTTTTCCACTGAGTATTTGGTCAATTATACACTGAAATAGGAATAAATAGAATTAATAATCGAGAGACTGACTTGCCATTCAAGTTTAATAGCAGAAATTGCAGTTTAAGGTCTCCTTTAGGCTTGTGAAGCCAATTGTTTTAACTATAAAGGTATCGCTTAGGGTCGTGCGTTTTCGTCATCGAATTTATAAGTCTCTAATATCTTGCTCTTTAACTTTTTACTTGACAGGTTCCCACTACAGTGTTCACGCCATTAGAATATGGTACAGTAGGTCTTTCGGAAGAGAAAGCTATCGATATGTACGGAGAAGACAAAATCGAGGTAAGGTTGCCATGAGAAGCAATGAGCGTCATGTTGTGGTTCAATTTTATCCTTGGTTTTAATTTTACATTCCTTTGTTTCAATTTCATTATCATACATTACCATACCCGAAAACAAAGGAAAATAAAACTTAAACCAGGGATAAAATTGAACCACAACATTATATTATATGAAAGTGAGATATGGCCTGGTGAGATATCGCCAAATCTGTGTTAGTGAGACGTCTATAAAGGATTTAAGAGGCTACCTGTCAAGGTCCTAGAACCCTCCTCCCTACAAGGCGATCACCTTTTTAATAGCCTGAGAAAACAGCCGACATTTGGCGACGCTACCACTGGTTTCCGCGCCAAATGACGTCTGAGAAACGAGGGCAGCAATTCCATACTGATGACGCGTCACTACCCAGATCTGGGTAGCGCTTCTTATTGGTTCAATCAAATTTCCCACGCGGCACGACCAATCAGTTGCAGTCCCCAGATCTGGGTAGTGACGCGTTATCAGTATGGAATTTCTGCGCTCGTTTCTCAGACGTCATTTAGAGGGAAAACCAGTGGTAGCGTTGCCAAATGTCGGCTTGTTTCTCAGGCTACCTTTTTAACAGACTCTTGGCAGTCCCTACTTTTTCATAGTGACAAAAAGTTAAACGCAAGAAGGGGAAGTACATGTAATAAGGATCGCGGCGGGGAATGGCTTGAAAGAGGGAAGAGCCCTTTTCCTTGATACGTTTTGTTCTTTCAAATTTTATGCAAAGATCGACTGTGATGTAAGCGGTAAAAGTCAGCTTTTCATTAAGCATTATTAAATTACTGACTAGCGTGAAAGAGGAGGGTGACAAGAGGGAAAAAGAGGAAAACTGAAAGACATTTCTAAGAGAAATACTTCTTTCCTTTCCTCTGGGTCTGGCATTCCTCCTGGTATACAAGTTTCACTCGCGCTAGCGCTCTTTTTTTTCCTCAGTGATTGGTCGGTTATGAGTCGCTTAACTTGTAGCTAGAATTATACATTTCAACGTTGCTCTTCGACGACACCGCACACGTCAATTTCATTCTCTAGATTCCGATCTGTTGCTTTTCCAGGTGTATCATGCCTTTTACATTCCACTGGAGTTTATCGTGCCTGGTAGAAACGCTGAGCAGTGTTACATGAAGGTAAGTCTGCTGCTCTTAGCCTTATCACTCAATCAGATCACAAAACTGACAAATCGTTTTCTCCTTTGTTGACAGGCCGTTTGCTTAAGGGAGGGAGATCAGCCTGTTGTTGGTCTCCATTTTATCGGGCCTTCCGCAGGAGAGGTTATTCAGGGCTTTTCTGCCGCCATGAGGTAAGTAAATCGGCGAAGGGTCAACTCTCGCGCAGGATTAGCTTAGACCGCGCAGGATTAGCTCAGTTGATAGAGCTCTTGACTGCAGAGCGCGAGGTCGCGGGTTCTATTCCCGGGACCGGACCAACACTCAGGGTCTTAAAATAACTGAGTAATGAGGGTACTGCCTTGGCCCTGCGCAAATGGCTAGATCTTCGCGTGGCTCGGAAGGCCACGTAAAATGGCGGTCCCGTCTTCAGTACGAGACGTAAAACTAGTGTCCCCAGTTAGTACTTTCGTGCTAAATACATTGACACTCAAATGAAGTACAAGTTTTTTTTTCTCAGATGGACACCTTCGGGGCTGGCCCCGACTGTCCGTGTTACAGAGGTGTCGGTCTTATAGAGCAGTCCGTTTCATTTCGTGACAGTCAAGCTGCACCGTGTAAGATGAAATTATAAGGCGTAACTACTCAAACGTAGCCTGCACAGCAAGTGTATGATAAATCGTGATAGATTTAGGGCGTACCAAAAGGCATTTTTCGCGCTCGCCGCTTATTAAAGAGCCCCCAATAGGGTTCTTCAATCTTGCAATCCCGACTCAATATTTCGTGCAATCCCTTAACCCCGAGTGTTATACTTGGCATCCCACTCCCGTGCATACTTTCAATCCCAAAACTCGCCCCGATTTTGCTTTCAAATCCTGAATCCCGAACTTCAAATAAGGGAAATCCCGGGTCCCGAAAAACGTATTGAGGACCCTCGAAATTGTTTATTCGCCTGCCATGCATGCATACTCAAATGGAAACGTGAAAAGTTTTGTGGCTTTCTTTTGATTCTACTTAACAAGGTGGGTATAACTTTTTAGTCTGAGGATGCAATCCCAAATGTGCCTTTGATGGGGGCAAATACTGATCACTTATTATTTGTATTATTTTCTAGGTGTGGTCTGACATACGAGAGTTTATCCTCGACTGTTGGCATTCATCCAACTTGCGCAGAAGTGGTTGTGAAAATGCATATCACCAAAAGATCTGGGTTGGATCCAACTGTTACAGGCTGCTGAGGATAAATATACCCCCATATACAAGTTTGTCCGAGAAAAATAAGCTTATTTGACATTTAACCCGACAATGCTCTAGTTGACGCATCTTCTTACTATGATTATAGCTTTTGTTTTGGACCACGAAAAACCAACAAAATGCTAATTAAATTTCTCGGGAATTTTTTAGCTTTTCAATAAGTAGTGATTTCGCAGCAGCCATGTTGGAGCAGAGGACAAAATGATTTTCCAAAGGAAAGTCGCTTATGTTTTACATGATCCTCCGACATGGCCGCTATTAAAGGGGTGAAACTTCGTAACACTTTAATGCAGAAGAACATTGGGTGAACAGTTTCTTCTGAATCTCCTCTAACGTGACTTAGTAGCTAGGGAACCTCTTTAAAATTAGGCTTCTACTTATTTTTACTATATTTATTTTTTCTCGGACACGTATACGTAGTGGGGGCACAACTATTATTTATCTAAACAGTCACTTGTGTTTATGACGAAAGGTTTTGAAACTGCGGAACACAAGAAAACCTCTCTGAATCCATCACAAGTGTATTTTGGAAATTGTCTTGACGTTGTGTAGTCCGACAGAGGCTAAGACTGTCTAAAAAACGTACACTGCAGACTTGAAAATCATTTGTCTTCCTTTAGATACCTAGACTGCAAAACAGTCGGGTTTTTTTTCTCAAAATCAGTAAAGAAATCGGTAAAGCGTGGCTTAAGAGTCTTACGCGCGCAAAGCGCGCGAGCCTCACCCGCCCGTAGGGCGAGTGAGGCGCAATGTGAGGCGAGAGAAAAAAAACGTCTCACCCCAGTCTTGCTCTCTGTTTTCAGCCTTGTTCCAGACCTTTTGTTTGAGTGTTCGCGCGTACTTGAATACGCAGAAATACGGACTGTTTTGCAGTGTATTAGATACCTTGTAAATAAACGGGCAAGATTCATGAAGAAAGGTTAAAATGATTAATTAAAAAAAATTAGAACCTGGCGAACAAAAATTAAAACACGATTACAATGCGAAAATGGTTAATAATGCTCCTCTTTACTCAGGGAGGTTAAATCAATTTTGTGAAATAAAAGCGTCGTTTTAACAACCTACATACAACATGTGTGTTAAATTTCCACCTTCAAAACGAGGCTAAGTGCAAAACGGTTCACTGAACTGTTTTTTTGAAATTGAGTTTTATTTGCTTGAGAATAAAACATCATTTTTATATCAGTGGCTTCGCGCTTTGGCTTCGGTTCGTAACCGGAAATGGCAAATTATATGCAGTGTTTTTTGTTTGTTTGTTTCTGTTTCCCGAGGGGAGTGTGAAAATTCATTGCAAAGATGGATGCCTCGTCCGTTGCTCTAGTTTAAGACCGTTCAGTAGTGTTTTCATAAGCTGTTATGGTTATAGTTAATTGACCATAATGACTTGAACCAGGAGAATTACCAGAGGGAGCAAAATGAGCAAAGAAACACATTACCAAAATGACCAAAACTTCTGAAATGACCAAATCAAAATGACCGACAGAAATGATACTACAGGTCAGGAAATAATACATCTGCTAAATAATGTAATTTTTAGCCGTTTTTATGACTTTGCGAAGTTTTACACGCACTACGTGAATCTGTAGTAGAGAATTATACACTGCGGAAATTTGTAACATTTTAATTTTAAGTTGAATCATTGAAAATAAATAATTCATAAGAAGATTTGTATCTAGAATGAAGCTTGCGACGTGGTAATTTCCCTGTTTGAAGTCTACTTCTTGGTAATAGAACACAGTTTTGTTAAAGAAGAATTCAAACACCAGAAAGCTCGGAAAAATTTTCCGAGCTCCAGTTGAGAATCGAACTCACGACCCTCCGAATTCCGGGGAGAATTCAAATGGA